ACCCCCCCCCACTCACACATTTTCGTCAACCAAACCGCTCACGAACCAGCATCATCAGTTTCTTTTTGCCTTTGTAGATTTGTTTTAGGTTGTCAATAAACTGTGTAAACTGGATATGACCATCATGAGCCATTAAGAAGGTCTCTCGGGCCTTGCTGAGGAACTCTATAAACTCACTATAGTGTCGCGGGCTGATGTGAGTGAGACGTGAATGAGTTGTATTAATGTAGGCTCCGATTGTGGCATCCAAGAGTTGCCGTAAAGGGGCTTTGTCCAGTGACATGAGCTTACCAGAGTTCCTCCTTCCATGAAGTCCCACCATGCCAGGAGTGGTCAAAGTACACCTACGCAAAATGTCTGACAGTACTGTTGCACATTTGACACTTTTGACCACCAGAGGTATTATAGCTGCTAGCTCATTTTTCCCAAGGGAGTGGCTGAGCGCACATGCCCACAGAACGTCATTAATGGCAGGGTGCGTGTCCTGATTGTAACTCAGGTTGAGATGTGTCATGGCCAAAGTGGCCAGCTTGTAGGCCCGCATGGGGTAACCACGGTGCTCCATGTATCGTGCTATAGTAAAAAGCTGTGAGTAGCTCATGCCGGTTGTAGCAGCATCTAGAACGATTTGGTAAGCGGTCTCAAAAGCTATGTGATCCTTTTCACATAAGGTCAGTGCAGAGAGGGCACAGTTTTGAGGATCCTTCATGGCACACTGTAGAGCAAGCGTCCTAGCACTGCCGGCTAACTTCTCCTGCTGATGGCAGTCCAGATGCAGACGGACAATGGTGCTGTTGGACATCACTGTTGTAGCAACAATACTAGTGGCTTCTGTTGGAGTGAAAAGTGTAAACCAGTTTTGCATGATACTATCCAGTGCATAAACACCTGGGGAGAGAAAGAAAAGGATTAGCCACAACTGACAAAACCTAGCAGATACAGATATTCATCAAGAGATTACATTTGCAGCAAAGTCTAAGAGGTTGCCAGTACATACAAGGGGATGTGCTTCAGCAAGAAGGGCTAAACCAGATAGCATGGCTGGAAAAGGACATTAAAACAAAGTCTACTGTGCAAACTCAGTAGCAATCACCAAAATGCAAAGAATACCAAAAAACCCCTGCAAGATAAGCTTTAATCTCCTGGCATGACAACTGAGCTGTTTTACTTGTTATTTAAGACAATTTGGATAACAAGTTCTGGCTCATTTGGTCTCATCACGTCATTTAAAAGCAACCCTCACACTGAACACTTTTAAAAGGCAATTTTAACTTCTTTTCTCACGGTGCATCTCAAGGCACAGGGCATGCACAAAAGAATATGAAAGTATGCTAAATGGCTTTCTTAATAGAACACCATGGTACACCTTAACAGAAAACACTAAGCACACCTTAAAAAAACAAAGACAAAATCCTAACCCCCACCTCCTCCCAACAAGCTTTTCAGATACATCTTGTATCAAATTCATATGCGCCTGAACATCAAGATTCTTAATAGGGAAATACTCTAAGTAATATGAACTACTGGATATTATCTGAAATAGCTGTTTTCCTTAGTATCACTTTATTCCTGGCATGTGTGTGTTTGTGTGTGTGTTTGGCAGGGAGAGGAAGGGGGAAACAGTGACTAATGGGTTCCATAAATTGAACCTTATAGCCAACTAGAGTGCCTTATTATTGCTAGAGGCAGTTTACACACATCTGTGAGCCCACCTAAACCACACCCAGAGGTCCTCATTTTCTCTGTAGGACTCTGATGCTTCCTGTGCACCCCTTCACTCATGTGCAACAATTCAGCATAGCCAGAGAATACCAGATCTTCATTTAAATAAACAGATTCCTTGCTTTACCAACTTGGTTAAGTCTCAAGAGTACTTTGCGTGACATTATAGGTTTTTTGTGGGATACTTCTATTAGAATATGTAAACTAATTTAAAGCAGTATTAAAACCAGCATTTTATTTCCCGATATGCAACTGCACAAAATAATACCCAGGCACTGATATCTGTAAGACAGCCTCAGCAATAATTATCTTAGCAAAGATATAAAAGCAATAAAACAAGAGCACTGCATGAAAATTTGCAGACACAAACCACTTTCTGGCTGAGGGCATACAAAGGCAAGCTGTATTTTCCCATGCTACTGACAACATTGATTTCCCAGTTAAGCATAAAGCAAAGAATAAAGTAAACCTGAGAATAAGCAGCAGCAATCCTCTGAAGTTCTGAAACTCAAGAAGCATCTATGCAATACAATCCAACTCAGATGTATGAAAAAGGAATAAAAACAGTAGGGAAACATGCTTTCCAGAAATACCTTTAGTGACAACTAAAACTGCTCCCTTATCGTAAGTACTTATATTGTCCCCACTACCACAGCTGCTGATTTTTTTTTTCCACAACTACACAGTTTTTAATGCACTCATCTTCACTTTCAGATTCTGTACCCTCATCTTGCAGATGGTAAACTGGAATACAGAAGCTAAGGGAAGCCTCATCAAGACACACAGGAAATCTATGGCAAAGCCCAGAAATTACAGAAACGTCCTGCTGAGTGCACTATTCTCCCACTGTTGTCCTCTAAGTGTAAGGCTGGTTCTGCTCCTACCTTATTTTCACCTTACGTAGTTAACGATGGGTGGATTGGTATTTGCTTTTCTTTAAAGTGCAGACGAGAGGCCTGCGCAACATCATAGCCACATAACAAAGATGCATTACACACTAAGCTTGGATTTACACAGGGGCTTAAAAAAACCCCTAACAATGAGAACCCCTTCATGAGATCCTGTCTGCCACACAGTAGGAGGCATCCTCAGCATTTCATTCACCTGTTTTTGGGTTCCTCTTCCCACAGCTGACCAGATGGCTCTCACCTGCCTTTCAGAGCCTCACCGGGCCTTTCAGAGAAAGCAAAGTTGTAGCACAGTGCAACAGCCCATAAACACGAACCTTTTCTCTACTGCAGCCTCAAACCCAAGCCCATCATGGAGGGGACAAGGGGAAATCTGGGGTATTTCCCATAGTTTGTGCGCACCCCCACCTTGCGGGAGAAAGAAGTCACACTGCATTTTACTCAACTATTGTGTCACTTGGTCTGTGCCTAAAAAAACCACTCATCATTGCCATAGTGTCTTCTCATCAAAGGAATTTTATAGATGAACAGAAAGTGGGAGACATTTGCAGAACCTAGGTGTTGACAAGCAAGATCAAGGCCTCTAAGATTAGCTGCCAAGAGAAGCATCTCAGAACATACCTACTTCTGTTGCACATGTTACCAACCACCTCACCATTTCCCGCCGTCGCCAATTCAATGTCGACAGCGTCATCCGCATCACCTGTTAAAATGACACAAACAAAATACAAATTAATCCTATTGCAAATAGGCAATATACCAACAACTAGGGATTTTAAGTTACTCAAATACACTAAAGTTCCAAATGGCAGCCTCTTGCCCTCTCCACTGTTACCTCTTTTTTAGCTGATATGTCAAAAGATTTGAAAAATATTGCTCAACTATCTTAGAATAGCATGCAGAGTGTAATTCCAACTGCAGATCCTTTAAGGCCAGAGGAAAGAGACTATTTTATCCGTGGGGAAGAAAAAAAAAAAAACCACCCTACAAAAAAGCTCCCCCCCAACCAACAAAAAAAGCCCAATCAATTACCAATTATTCAAATTAAATGTCTCCTCCCTCTATGCACAATAGTCTTTAAAGTGGAAACATGTCACCTCTTGTTGGGCAAACTAACCCCTTTAATTTTTCCCTCATCTCCATTTCTTTTCATTGACTTCAACAAGACAGACAGGAGTTAGTGTACTGTGATTTGACTGGCTGCTTATTCTGCAAAGATATATATACAATTCCAGATATATACAGATATTATTAAGAAGTCCGCAGCGATGATTTCTCTCTCTGAACAAGGAGTCCCTGCAAAGAAATTCCATCGTAAAACCAACACAATCCTCGAAAAAGGACTTTAAGGTTCGACTGTAGTGCCCGTATTTTACATCACTTGCTGTTATTGCCTATGTTGTTTCTCAAAACATGGGCAAATATGTTTATTCAGTAAAACAAACACTGCATGGAAATTGCATGTAAAGCTTGCTTCAGCTACCTGGATAGACCCCACAGATACCCAGATGCTGAAAGCAAGTAATTTTCCCCTTACAATATCAGTGATCATACTATTGTATTACTATTTGTAGCAATTAAATAAAGACCGTAACAAGTCAATCATAGAGCTCTCAGTGATCATCTTTACATACTAAACGCAACAAATGCACTCACAGACAGCTTGGACTCAGCAGCATTTTTAAGAGGGTTCTCAACCCATATCCCCTCCCAATCCTAAGGTGACTTCAAAGTGGCATGTAGCCCTCTGTCATATTTGTTACTCCTGTCACCTCCTTTAGTCCTACACTGTAGATAGGATAATTAAGAAGACTGAAAGATTGCTGAGGAGCACAAACACACAGATGATCTTTAAGAGGTCTGGTTATAAGCAACCATGAGTGGTTCCAAGCTGGCCTCCAAACTTTCCCACCTTGAGACCCTGGTGACTGGTTGTACATCACCCAAAGTTATAGGATAAGGCCAGCTTTGTTGGCCTCAGACATTGTGGTATCATTTTAACTGAACAGTAATCTAAGCGCTAGACTGGAGAATAGCATTTTGAAAGAAAGCAAACTGATCTGTAAGGAGCAACCCAAAACATTTTAAAATATGAAAATGTGGCTGAAGTAAATCATGGAAACAGCCTTTGCTTGAAGTCTTTCTGGATGAAAAACAGGCAGCCCCAAGTCAAAATGCTTTGGAGTGCAATTATCTGTCCCATTCCGTCCATCAAAGGGAAGGAGTCTAGGTAACTTCCTGTACTGATGCACACACAAATTGAAGGCTAACACTCTTCCAGTATCCATGATGAATTTTCAGCTTCCCCCAAGTAGAGTGAATCCAAGAGAAAACACAGGGTTATGGACAGAATTTTGCTATTGTGAGGGAGGAAAGGAGGTAAGGAAAAAAAAAAACCAACTGTGTGAATGACAACTTCTCTGAAAGTTTTCTCTGACAACTTCCCTCACTGTGGTGGTCTGTAAAAGGACCAGCAGTCACAAGGGCCTTCAGCACGTGTAGTGGGCATAATAATAGTTCTAGTGTACACAGTCCTGATTTGATTGCAAAACCCAATACCATATCCAGTTTCTTGACATGGAAAAGTTTCCTAGTTTCTTGACATGGAAAAGTTTCTTGACAAACTGTTCTGGAATTAGGTTCCTTTCATTTGATTAAATTGACATGTTGAGAACAGCAAGAGAGGGGCCATTTACTGATGATAAAAACCCCAAGGATTTCAAAAAAAGCATGTATTGATGTCCTGACCAAGGAGGAGTTGAAGTTAATTTATACTGTAGCATAGGTAGCTAAAGAACTATTTCACTTCTGCTCATACATTCTTGAGCTACCTCTTCCTAAAAGGGAGTTCCACATCTGTCCAAGATCTATCCAAGATCTGTGCTATCAATTGAAGAGAGCTTCTGAACAAGTCAGGAAGTCTGAAAATTACAAGAGACTCCTGGGAATTACATAGCTTATGTGAAAGCCAAGCTCTCTTCCACAAAGAATAACCTTGACTTTGTCTTGATGGATCTTTATAAGAATTTCTTACAGAGGAACAGAACATCTCACCACCCATAAGAGATACAAGAAATGGCCAACCAACCATTAGCTCCCACACCAATGCGAAACCTCTTCGCCATACACATCGAAAGGAGATTTATTTATTTGTTTATTCATTTTGGGGGAAAGGACACCACTTGCCAAATACACATTGAGTGATCACCTGCACTAACTTGCTCAGCAGTTCTGCTAGAGTACCTGCCTGCATGTGTGCAGTAATACTTACTTGCACTGATGTAGCACACAACAGGCAAACAGAGGAATAGAAGCCCCTCCTGTACCTGCAGAAGTTCAGCGCCTGTGCCAGTAAGGTTCTGAAGGACAGAATACACCTGAGATGCTGCATGCCCATTTGGCCATGCTGATGACCTCTTTCCACAGCCAGTTTAAAAGCCTTCCCTCTGCTAAGTCATATAACACATGCTGCCATTGGAAATAGGAAGAAAGAACCCAGGAGTCTATACATTACTCCCAAATCTAAAACAATATAAGAGGCTTTTCTGTCACAGAGATCCCAGTGACAGAGTTGTGAAATTATCGGTATCATCTCCTCAGCCCAACCTGGCCAACTTGTCATTGCTGTAGCTGAGGCAGAACAGCATACCTGTGAGGAAACTGCTGTTTAGTTTACCATGTCAGGAGAGAAAGTTTTCTAGGGCACATAAGTGTCATAAGTAGAGAGATACTAGAAAGTGTCTAATTGCCATTAAGTTAGGGGGGCAGAGAAGGGGGAAGCATCTGTAGGCCACTAGAGACAGTGCTGACACTAAGGTTTTTGCAGGAGAAGCGTTAGTGTAGAAATCTATACAGCTGTGAGTTACTACCAGAAAACTGCCATGCATCTTCCTTCTGGAAAGCAAACTACCTCTAAGATTCTTAAAACACCTTCGTAAGCTTGGGACAGAACAGTGGACAAGTTTCCATACCAGTTTGTTCCAAACCCTGGGACTGAGGAGAAAGTATGGGTTCATGGTATTTCTTTCACTAGATCTTACTGAAGACATTCTGATGACACCACCAATCACAAAGGGGCATCCATGAATACAGTGATATCCAAAGTGTGCTGCTACCACTGAATGATACTTGGTGAATGCTTGAGGTGACACGCAGGTCAATCATAAGGATCTTTCCCTCTCTCTCAAGTAAACAAACATTTAAGGCAGAAACATACCAAGATGTGAAAAAAGAAGCAGATTTCCACAGCAACCTTGGGAATATGAAAGGCTAAAAAAGCATACAGAATCTCAGCTTTCTGATTAAAGACTTTAGCTTCTAAACGTCTGGAATAGGCAAATAGTACCTTTCTTTCGCATGAGAAGCAACTGGGATAATATCCTTTCCCCAGAAGTCTTTGGAGCTTTGTTTACTGAAGCAAAGTAATAAATGGTTTTCTGATCTTTGCATGGTTTTTTTGAAGAACTCCCTGAAGAGGGATGAAGAGATTTATTTTTGTTGAAAGGAACTGTGTAAACTCCAAGATTCATCAGTGTCAGGCAATACTACTCCACATACCTAAAACTTAGCTCCTTTTAGCTGGCAAAGTCTCTCCTAAGAGCCTGAAAACTGATTTGAGGTTCTTGTACACCTCAAGCTGAGTCTGATGCATCTGATCGTCTCACAGCTTGTGGAGTAAAGGATTTTGATGAAGGAAGTGAGAGGGCTACTGTTAGCACAGTCTGCCTTAAACAGGTCATTATGATTGACCTTGGCTTTCTCTAGTAATTCAACAAGCACCTACCAAATCGGTAAGAAACCCCTCACGGCAATGCAGAAAATAGTGCATTTCTGGCAAGCAGAATAATTTTGCTTTCTAGCCAGTCCTGCATATACTCCTGAATCCATTGCACCGGTCCTCTCTCGCCCCTGAACAGAAGAGTGCCCCGCAGCCAGCTGCTCCCAGCTCTCTCTTCCACCCGAATGGCACAAAGGGGCTGTGTAGGCCCTTGGTCTCTGTTTACCAGTCCATTGAGTTTTGTATCAGAAAACAGAATCTAAAAAAATCCAGACAGAGCCCGAAGAGGGTCCTCAGTGCTTAAAAGCTATACCCACTAACACTGGGTCAAATTTCTTTCTTCTACTGTAATAATAATGAACGAGGGAAATACCTGAAGGCCCAACTCCAGAGAAACTTTCAGAAGAGTGATATCTGGCAAGCTGTCCATGAGTGTTGCTATTTTAAATGCATCCTGGGCAAGTTTGAAGATGTGTGATGAGGAGTGGATATTTTTCTGGATGGATTCTAACACTGTTTCCAGCCTCCGAACATCACCTGCAAGGTGTAAACAGAATCACCAAAACAGAACAAGCTCCCAAAACATCCAGAGATGCATTATAATTGAGCCTGCCATTGCTATGCAATAGTATGATGTTTCGGTTATACACACTTTGTTTAGAAACCTCCCATAACATAACATTCATCACATACGAATGAAAGACACAAGACCAGCACAAACTCCTCTAGTGCCTGATGGTGTTAGTGCAGTACATGGCCAAAAGTCATCCTGATTTGTGAATTTTAGAAGTGATTTGTGCACTCCTGGGTCTCACAGTCTACATCGTGTGTCAGAAGAACAAAAAGCTGTCTCATCAGCCTCAAACCAAGCCCATCTGGCTACCATTTAGCTAGCTTAACTACTTTGCTAGAAAATTAAGTAACAGGTTTAAGCCACTTCAGTTTGTTGTTCCCATTTCAAGCTCCTGTCAGACTGCAATTTGGATTCCTAAACACAAGTTTTATATCTGTTTACTCTATGCAATATTAAAAGCATACATTTAGTTGAGTACATAACTGACAGCAACGTACCTTTGGCTGCTGTTAGCATAGTTGATGCCAGCTCACACTGCTGGGATTCAATGTGACTTAGGGTGAACCAGCGGGGATACCGGTTTGGAACAACTGATGCAATGTGGTGCGGGCGGGACATGTCTCCCGAAGGAGCTGTGGATTCCAATACTAGCAACCTGAAATAAGGAAGAAATCCTCTTTCATTAAATCATTACTACGTTAAGTTACTCATTAGCAAAATTAAAGCTGCAAGAACACTTGACCTTGTTTACGAAATGTGCCTTTTTGGTTAAAAAAAAAACCATTGGAAAACCAATTCTCTTCTTGGGGAATCTTAGAAGTCCATTTGCCAAACTTGCCTACATCAGTGGGCATCTGCAGGAATTCACAGGACAGTTACGCCACCCACTAGCCAAGGCAGCAGAAGACTTTCTGCATCATGCATAGAGCTGAAGCTTTTCTCCCTGTCTTGTTTCAGTCTTTGAACCACAGCCCTCCGGAAGGAGAGTGGAGTAGGTCTCCACTGTACTGAGAACATGTAAATATTTTCCAATATTTGGCACATACTCTCTTCACTTACAAATGCTCTAAGTAAGGGAGAGGGATATTCAACAAGTCATTCGGTTTTTGACCTTGCAATAAATTCAGACATGAATTTATGTCCAAAAAGGATATTTTACTGTTCAACTATGACTACTTTTTAAAGTCCTTAAACTTTAGCATTTTATGATGTACCGTAATCTGATGTTAGGGTCCCAAACAGCAGTGACAGAGGAAGTTTCCTTTAAAGTTACTTTTCAGACTCCATTTTCTAATCCTGAAGCAAAAATTTCTTTGAGTATGCACCAATCTACAACAGTCTTATCCACCAAGGAGAATTCATACTTAGAAAAGTCAAATTAATGTGTTTGTTGTCGACTACGACAACACAGGAGACAGTCCACAACAGACTCAACTGATGACCCTTACAATACACTAGATACAAGCAGTACACTAGATACTATATAAATGCCAATACAAGAAGCAGAAGTGAGCAAAAATAGATATTTTTATTCAATACAATTAAGCAGAGTTTCAGGACACGAATGGTTAATGAAACATCAAATGATAGTAATAAGACAATGTCCATAAGAAAAGCCTTTCTGGTGCTTAGCTTCTTGATCAGGGTTAACATCCGAGTTCTGTTTCTACCAGCTTTTATATGCAAGTGATTTTCTAGGAGGAAGTCATTTGGGAGGACAAAGGAAATTGGATCTCTTTTGTCAATAAAAATGAAACTACTGAATATTGAAAATCTAATGCTTTGTGATTTTCTGTGATAGAATATTTCTTATGGAATAAGCTCATTTAAACATAAGTTACAATTTCTTGCACTTAAATAAATACTTAAGTTCTTTCAGTAACTAGAGTGCATGTGGTTTTTTTTTTTGCAGTAAGACAGTTTTAAGTTCCATCAGTTTTCCGCAGGCTCCTGAAGCATATGAGAGTATCTTTAAGAATTCCCTGAGAAAGGTAATTTTGAATATATGGGAGGGTATCTAGCAGATACATATAAATATGACATACCATGTAAATAACTATCAGCGGCTTATATTAATATTTTCAGACACATGTATGTGCACGCTAATATGAAGAAAAAAAAAGACTTCCCTTTTGATTTGTATCAAGAGTCAAACCTCTTCCTTAGTACCACTGAGACACCTCTTTATACAGCTTTATATACATAAAAACAAAACACATATAAACTCGTTAGCTGATTTTTTCCAAGTATAGAGAGAGGACGGGGGGAAAGATGCATTATTAGATGGTTTCAATAAACAGTAAAAATCCCAACTACCTAATGCAAAAAGGGATTATGAGGTTATGAGTAACAGTAAATAGACAAAGAGCATGAAAGAAAGAGGCTGTTTTGGGGAAATCTTTTGTCACTTTGAATTGCATTGCCAGTTTCTATGTTCTTTTGCTATGAAAAGAAATGCCGTTGTGAATTGGTGGCTTTCATGCAATTTTGGCAAGATTAGGGAACATCAGAACAAGCACAAGCAGATTTAGCATACTTCACTTCCCCCCCCCTTTCAAACATCAATTATTTAACTAGGTTTTAGCAAAGCTACCTTGTGATTAAACATCACCATTAAAGTTTGGCTCCCAAAGCCTGGGTGAAATTCAGGCTTAACAAGGGATCAGCCAAACTAAGCCAAACATTCAAATTCAGATTCCAAGTGAGCAGTCAACTAGGTCACTGCAGACCCACATTCTCCAAGGCTCCGCTCCATATGTTTCCGCTGTAAGCAAAGAACCGTAGACAGAAGTGACCATCAAGGATAGCACAACCCTGTCCTTGCAGACCTGAGGTGTACGCGTGAAAGGCTTTATGGTCTCAGCTTCCATTGATTTCTGAGTGTTCTGATACCGAGTGTTCCACACACTGAAATAGGATTCAAAAAATGAAACAGCAACAGATGATTTTGAATACAGAGAAGTAAAATACTCCAGAGCTGCCGTCATGGGTCATTGATCCGTGTAGACTTGTGTGTAGACTGACACTAAACACTTATGTCTGGAGAGCAACCAGCTGGGGTCTTGGGAAGTTAACTCCTTTAATAAATGTTGAAGTGAAGAAAGAAATATACTCCACTTCTAAAATCATGAGCAACCACGCAGATTTCTATGCCGCACCTTAACTAACTTCCACATGAGATTTTTGTCCCTGCTACAGCCATTTCTTCCCTGCCATGGAAGAAAAGATGCTCAAATTTTCCTCTTCTGATCCATTCAACCTCACGACCATGAGAGAGACATTCAATCTTCATATTTGTGTTCTTCTTCCCCCTCTCCCCCCCAAGGCAGTATTAAGTTACTTTTTCATTTGGTTTGTATTGGGAGTCCTTTACACACTGAACTATCACTTTGGTGCAAATGGGAAGAGTAGCCAACTTTCTTCTGGACAATTTGAGAAGTGCTGAGGAATGCAGACAGACATGGAATAGAAAGTGTCTAAATCTGCCATCACCACAGTTCAAGATAGCAGTCCACATTTCTGAAGAGCACCAAATATCAGAATACAGAAAGACTGATTATTGTCTAGGGCTGAACTCTCATCTGCCTTATAAAGTGATGACAAAAGAGCCATGAAGAACAGCCCCGATTACACTGATGTCTCCTGTGATTTTACCAGATGGAAATGAACAGACAACTCTTTCTTATACTGGTCTGTTTGAAAAGTAACTTCTTTGGCTGAGATGACAGCTTCATACCAAAAGATGGCTAGAGCTACCCATGACTAACTGGAGATTTCATCATTTGGATCTTTCAGTGTCTTGCTTGTTTTTCCATTTGAGAAAGGAAACTTCCAGAAAAGAAGTTTTCAGTTATGATTGGCTTCTGGGGAAAGCCCAAATCCTTGTTAAAAAGGAATGGCATGCTGCCGTCACGTTCACTGAAGCATTTCAGTGCACTGTGCAAAGCTGTTGATGGATGTCTATTCCAGCCTTTCCGCATGGTTTTAGTAGTTTAGTTTAAGGAAGAAAACTCCACACAAACCATCTCTAAGAAACACTTTAAGGTAGTAACTGAAAATAAATACAAGGACACAAGTCTACTTTATAAGATTGACCTTTTTTTCTAAAAAAGAAAAAAACAACCAACCAACCAAAACAACAACAACCCCCTGCCCCCCCGCCCCGTGCCGAAAAACTAACCAACCAAAAAACCCACCCACCACATTTTGTACTATCTTGCTTATCTGATATGGCCAGGGTTATTGATGCACGTAACTTGCGATAAAAGAATGGTGTTCTTAGATGGCCCAGAAGTTTTCTGATCATATGTTTGAATGTTCTCAATAGTTCATCAGTAATGCACTTTTGTCTTCTCAATCTACTTCCTAAAACGCTAATCAAACAGCAAGTATGCAAGGTTACTCTTCATATTTCTTAAACTCTTTCCTCAACATCCATTACTAGACACTCTTGGTGGCAAAAAAACCTAGGCTAAGCAGACTTTTGGCCTGACCTGAGAGTAGCTATGTTTCGTTCTTCTGCATGCCCTCCCGTTTAGTCTTTTGAACACAGAATTATTTTACCCCCGTTTAGCTTTTTGGAGAAACTAGCTCCAGAATACACACCTCCAAACCACTAGGACACAACCTGTCTGATGCAGCTAAACACTACTTATTGTGGATAGTGTGTCCTTCAGTCACTGTGCAATCACTCTTGATAATAACGACCAGGAAAACCAAAACCCAACACTTTTTTTTTTTTAAAATCTGGGACTTGACTGTTCTTAGTATTCAGTTGTGGCTATTCTTTGTCAACCATCAACTACAAGGTTCTTGACAGCAACCAGACAATCCAGATGGGACCAGTTCCTTCCCTGCATCGCATGTGGACAACAGTTTTATCACTGATCACTAGGGCCCTCCCAACTTCCTTCAGAAGGCTCTTCTTAGCCACCGCTACCAATCTGGCCTGTCTTGAGAGAAAGCCAGCACATACTGAGCACTTCCTGAGAAAACATCATCTTCCTCATTACTGAAAACAAATGGGATGCAAGTCAGACATTTTGTTGTCATACTACATACCCCATTTAAATCCCAACATTCACCCAGAAGTGGGCAAGACTGCTTCACTATGAAGCACAAGAAAAAAGTACTGGCTCAGACCACACCATATGGTTTCAAATCTATCATTGAGAGTTAATTTATAAAGAAGGCCAGTGGAACAAATTGTCCTACTGAACAGGCTAAGCAGCAGATGATCCTGAGACTGCTGGTGAAATGCCTCTTTCCTCATTTCCTTGCCAATACCATCACACACACCCCCCCACACATGGGTGAGAGAATGCACATGCTAAAGCTGTCATTGTTTAACATAAAATCATGTGCCCCAAGAGGGGGATTCTAGAAGGATTTGTAACAGAGAATGTTTTTTACAGTTGTAGATAAACACTAATTGTACATTTATAAATGATTATGCTGTAGTTACATGAATTGCTTTTACAGATGACCAAAAAAATTTCTCCTTAAAGGGAAGAATACTTCTTGTAGAAAAAAAGTCTAGGTCTTGATTACCAAGCTTTCTGCCCTTTTTCCAACCGCTACTTGTGCTCTTTCTAGAAGACTCGTGAATACATACCGCATGGCTCTCAGTGCAGTTTTGTATGCCAATTCAGCATCATGAGGTAGGAGAGAGGTGAAGAGATACTTGGCAAATGTGTGCATTGGAACGCTCTCTCGATGGATGACTTCGCCTAAACCACTATATGGTCCAGCTGCAGGAAAGAAAGAGAATGTCAGTCTTTACATACTGCTAAAACCCAACTCTGGACCTCTAAAAACATTCCCTGTACCTTCAGTTAGAATTGATACTCAGAGACAGTTTGCTGTACAAAAGGTGAAATTATGTTGATATTTTCTGTGAAATACATTATACATATATAAAATGTATTACAAGTATATTAAATACCATATATTCTTTGAGACAACAAGACAGACTGCAAATTGTATAGTACTAAACACACTACCAGTGCACATACAAATGACAGAATGGTTCCAGTGCTCCAGGGCTCATTCAGCAAGCCTACGGTATGCAAAAGTAGAAAGTGATAATCCTAGCTTTGCCTCCATATAGTTACATTGTGCACATGAATCCCTATGCACCCTGTTGGTGTGTGACTGCTTTATCACAAATCCTCCAGGACAAAAAAGAGTGGTTACAGTGGAAAAATGTGTATCTTTAATTGAAGTTACATGACCAATCACCACAGCAGCACCTGATGCCTATTAATGTCTCACCTGACATTAGGCATTTAAATAACCCTTTGGTCTGGGACTTGGTCTCCAGAGAAGGTTAGGTCAGATCTTGCACCAAAGCTGGTTTTGTTAGTCCATTATAGCCACATGATCTTAAAAATTGTATTTGTTGTGGAAAAACTATTCCCATTGTTGGGGCAATGGATTTTGCTCACAATCGGTGCAGCCAGTGTAGTATTTCAACTTCATAACAGCTGCGTCAGGATCGACGATGACAACAACAGTTGCAATTATTTCCTTGCTGAGTTCTGAATGTTCACAGTGCATTATGAATCCCATTTTTACATTTTTTCTGCAACCTTAAGACTGTTATTCCTATTAATAGGAAAACTGCATCAAACAGTTTTTGACTTCAGCGACTAGAAGTTCAGGCATTAAATGATGCAAGATACAGAGTAAGAATCTTACATTGAGCATTATTGGACTATTATTGCACAGATAGCAGCCAGCAGTCATAGAAGTTACCACTACTTCTTCTACTACACTGCAACCCACCACATTTGGATGGATGGATGAATGACTGTGTGAGCACACTTCTTTGCTGCAGAGTCACGTGTGTCATTTAAACTGCTTCCAGCAGCGGTTCAAGCTAACATGACCGACTCTACACTGAAGCAGACGAGGAGAGCAGATGAGGAGAAACAGCCAAGCTGTTTCAGCAATGTTTTTCTGACTGGTGCCTTAGCACAACATGTGAAGATAAAAATCACTAGGCATGAAAAAATTCTGGGCACTTCTGAAGACTGGAGCTGATTACAAAGGAAACATCAGTGAAGATTTAGTAGGTGACAGTGTCTCAGATCATTTAAAATAAAGTTGAAAGCCATGCAAAAGTAGCTGGCATTGCTTCAATGAAAGAAGTCATTTCATGTATGTTTGCCCGTTGGTGGTCCAGTCAGAAATTCAGTTAGGACATGAAGAATACATGACAAAGCATTTATATGAAAATATATTCTGCCATTAACTTAGCAGTCAAGCAAAAAGTTAGAACAGTTCTTGCAAAACAGTCTTACGTTTCACTTTCCCATGCACTCAAATGGTAGCTACATACAGCATGCATTAATCGGCATTAACAGCATAGAAATCAGCTTAATATTGGACTAAGCTCTCTTTATTATCTCCACAGGACTTTAACTATAAAAACACAATTGATATGATTAGCATCTTAAATCACTGCACAGTTTTTCCTCCATGTGAGCTGGCAGTTTCTGCCTAACCTGGACTAAACTGAAACTATTGCAGATTTCTCAGCACACAGTAATGCAAGACCATTGTTGAACCCTGCTCACCACAGCAGTTTTGTAGGTAGTTATGTTAGCAGATTTCCTGCTACGATCACTGGTTTACTACTCTAAGAAAACATTAAAAGAATTTCAGTGATCAAAGTAGTAAACTAGAATTCTCAGAGAACACTTTGAGGAAATCCTGCGTGTTTCTCATAAAGCACCCTTGCAGTAAATAGATGCTGCAAATTGATTTTATAATCCGTAGGATCCCTATATGGTGGTTAATAGCAGGATCCAGCGAGCAGCTGCTCTTGTCCAAAGGCCATAAAGCAGCAGTACAGCCACACCATAATGGAAACTCTCCCCATGGTGCAACTTCGCTGCAGTTTCAAATGTCACCAAAGTCTTTAAGGATCTGGGCAAAAATAGTCTTTAAGGATCTGGGCAAAAAAAGTCTTTAAGGATCTGGGCAAAAAAAGTGACTCAAAGCTGAGAACCCTAAACAACATACCGCACCTCTTCCATAAAGAGGAAGTTTTAAAAGACAAATGTCTTACAGAAAGAAAGCAAAACCTGACTGCTGTGTAACAATCTTCACCACTTACCTAGAGCAGCACCACACTCCCTACCACCCCTTGAGCAAGCACCCAAAACTTGGACCATGCCTTTGGGTAATTGGTTCCTCTGAAGTTTTTTCTTCCATTTAAAAAAAAAAACAAACCAGAAACCAGAAAGACAACCTCAGAACCCATGAGACTACTCTGTGAACATGAGGCTTATGTGCTACATGTTAAGCCTTTTTAAAAGCTAAGGCAAATGTGTGCACTTTTTTATACAGATTTTATTGCAACACACAGGCTAATTTCCAAATACGAATTGTTTGTCTTGGTCGAAATTTAGTCACAAGACCAGGCCTTATACCTCAATATTTGACCACATATTTCAATTTTCATGTATGATACAAACTTCAGAGGCAAGTCATTTTCCTAATTGCTACAAATAAAATATTACATTTATGTCCCAGCAATTCTAAGTGAATTTTCTGAGCTCTTCACTTGGGAAACAGAGGTAAAAGTCTTCATACATTTCAAAGCTGCCAGTCCTTTTTTCAGGATACAAAGAACACTTAGAATTTTGCTGGCTGAGAACTGTTGATGATAACTGATGTCTGTAGTATTTAACTGTAAGCCTGGGCTGTAAAATCAGGATACTGAGACTATGACAAGCAACAAGTCTAAAGAACAAAATGTAATCAAAATTAAAACAAAAGGCTTATAGGTCAATAGATGCCTTATCTCTATATTCACATGATATCTGAAGTATGTTTGATTTTCATAAGAGATTGGAAACAAAAAATTTTGCTGGAGTTCGACATCAAAAAACAATCTGAAGTATGTAAGGCAGTTTCCAAAGGAATACTACTTCTGTGTGCTTGTGTAAGTGAAGACAGTTTAAAGAAGCAGTTAGCATCTATATTGAGCTACCTTCTAATAGGAAGACTGCTTGTTTTCGAAAAATCTTCACCAGAGTATCATCCAATTCAATTTCCTGGAGCTTAGAAATGAGCTGCTCCTCATTTCGACAAACCTTCTCTTGTGCATACAAGCCATCTGGCATTATTCGCTGCTGTCCCAGCCCTATCAACGCTACTTCCACAGCCAGCGTTAAATAAGATTCCCCTTCTTCTAAGAACTTGTGTGCAGGCAGGTGCTGGTACTCCAGAGCTTTGCATTGCCCCATGTTCTCTGTAAGGGGTGACACAAAGGAAAACACATCAGCAAATCTTTCTAACCCATAATCTGCCTATAATGCCACATATACAAATGCTTCCTCTGTTAGTATTAATTTTAAAAAATTGTTTACATTACTAGCACAATCTCAAAATCCAATGATCCAATCTAAAATATCCCATCCAATTCCACATGGCAGAAATACACAAAACAATTAGGTTTTAAAGAACCCCCAAAATTAAAAACAAAAGTTTTCATTTTTAAACTGCATGGTTTAGAGAAAGGCAGTTTCTCCAGCTTTGTGTTAATGAGGCCAAAATTGGAAGATCCATTTCCACTTTTTTCCCCCACCCACTTCTGTATCTGCTTAAAGCCCTGATGTGTAAGAGGAAGGAAAAGGTGCTTATACACCTGCATAGATTTCTGTTGAAGCTATGAGGATTGTGCAAATACAATAGGCCTGGGAACTCTACAACTTTAAAAGCATGCTCTGTTTGCTAGCACTCTTTTCAACCTTTTTTGTTACAGTTGTGTTTATAATAAAAATGTATATTATTAACACTAGAAGTCCTACTTTTAGTAAAGATTACATATAAATTCCACACAGACCAAGCCAGACCAAGCTTTAAAGAGTACTACCAATTCATTTGGCACTTCACTAACACAACATATGATAAAATGCTATTCCAACCTGTAGCATTTTACAGTCTAATTTGGGAACAAAAAGTTATAATGGACAGCTGTAAGGAGATGGACAACTGCAGCAAATGGGAAGGCCGAATGCATTTGGTAGATTGCATACATACAGGAGGAAGATTATTTTTCAACACACACTGATTTTATTTCATGGGGTTGTTTTGGTTTTTTTATAATTGAAAAGAATCTGATTTCTTTTAATTAAAAGTTCTTGCAGAATTGGTGAATACGGGATTAGAAATTTATTGAAGAAAATCTAATTGAATAAAAGGATTTTTGAGGCAAAGCCCCAAGAAGATTGCAGATGTGCATATAGAAGAGCTGCAGCTAGAGGGATGGACCAGTTTCTGTCCACACAGGTGATGATAAGAAGCTACTGCAGAGGTGGAAAGAGACTGAGAAAAAGGAATTAATCAGTTAAGCTCCTGGGAAGCAAATACTAAAATTAAAATGGGTGTACACATGCTATCCTAAATCATGTATCCATACTGCAACACTACTTTCCAATTCATATAATTTATAGACATGTATGTTATCAATTTTAAGTGTTTTGTCATCAATTTGAAATATTATGTACACTTGTAGCTAAGAAGTCCAGTAACATCCTGGGCTGGATTAGGAGGAGTGGTGCCAGCAGTTTGAGGGAAGTGATCCTTTCCCTCTGCTCAGCTCTGGTGAGCTCACACCTGGAGTGCCGCATCCAGTTGTGGGCTGCCCAGCACATGGACATACTGGAGCAGATCCAGTGCAGAGCCACAAAGATGACTAAAGGACTGCAGCATCTCTCATATAATGAGAATGAGACAGATGGGATTATTTAGCCTGGAAAAGAGACGGCTCAGGAGGATCTTACCAAAATGTATAAATATCTGATGGGAGAATGTAAAGAAGACAGTGACAGACTCTTCTCAGTGGTATCCTGTGACAGGACAAGAGGCAACGGGCACAAACTGAAATACAGGAAATTCCATCTGAGCGTAAGAAAACATTTTTTTACTGTGAGGGTGGTTGAACACTGCAAGAGGTTGCCCAGAGAGGCTGTACACTGTTTACTCTTGGAGTTATCCAAAACTCAACCAGACACAGTCGTGGACAACCTGCTCTAGGTGGCCCTGCTCTGAGCAGAACAGGTGGACTAGACGATCTCCAGAGGTGCCTTCCAACCTCAGCAATTCTGTGATCCTGTGATTTCCTGCAATTTCTCAGAAAGAGGACAGAGCAATGTATGTGGAAGAGGCCTGCTGCTATAAAGTCTTATCTGGTTTTATTTCAAGTGTGAAATATGGAATTGTCTTCAAGAATGAGTAATGTAGTTTTTTAAGTGCTTTCATATTTTACTTTAAACATTTTCTCTCCCTTGTGTTTTCTTAAGAATGCAAATGTGAGTTCTTATACTATAAAAACATTGGCTTTGAAGCTGATTCAGAAAGGCAAGACAGAAAAATGCCTCCAGTAAATGAAGACGTACAGAAGATTGCTCCCTTTGCTTGGCCTTACCTGTGAAGTCTGAGAATCCATGGAAGCTCTCATCATCCACCCTGCAGGCTTCCATCAGGCTACTGAAGAGGGTGCCAATGGGGTCCAAAGGGTGTCCCACCCAACCTTCAAGATTCGTTATGGAGGTTACTCCTCTGTGGAGTTCTGTGACAGAAAAAATGGAGGGAGGAGAGAGGGAAAGAAAGTGCATGTTAGCCCCTCAAAACAATTATAAAAGTAAAACTGATTAAAATGCTCTCAGTACAGAATTCATAGTATTTCCAGTAGCTTCTGCTTAGAAGGAGAAAATAGTATCTTTCAGGGTGAATTAATTGCCCTTTAAATATGTTAAAAGAGGAAAAAAAGAAAAAGAATGGAGGCCAAACATTTTGAGCACTAGCAAAATGTATTATGGGTCAAACATTTCAACTGCAGTGTCTTTTGAAATCTCCTACTCGATACCAGTAACTCTTCTGAAAATGTCTGCTGAAAAATTACAGTAAAAATGTTTTTTCTTTTTTTTTTTTTGTAAAATATTCACAACAGTTTCCTCACTCAAAAACACAACAGTACCATCTTTACCTTTTAAGTTAATCTGATGGCACTGAAATAAATGAAAATATTCTAAAACTTGTTCTAATTTCATAAATAAAATATAGGCTTATCCTGCATCTAAATATTTATTGAAGTAATAAACTCAGGATGACCGCTGCTTTAAAAAAAAAAAGAATAAAATGTTTAAATGAGGTATAGAAGAAAAAATTGTCCTTTAAGTGGATTAAGTGCATTTTTTGTCATTCTACAATTTCAGTCAAATACCTTCACGGATACTTTTTGTAGCCCTCACCCATCATTCGGTTAGAACATGAAAAAATTGTTTAGCACAGTGAATTGAAGGAAGTGTGGCTGCGATAACAGATGTTAGAGATTCCCCAAATCCCTTTTTTTACTAAGAGTCTTATGGCAACAGCTCCCCTTTGACTCCAACTCCCAACTTTTTTTGCTCCTACACATGACTGAACTGTGAGAGATCAGATGCATTATGGGTGACCATTTAAAAACTGTCTACAAGGCATTATGGATGGTCTGTTTCTCTGCCTGTTATACACTAACTTGTGCCTGCCTCCGCTCTCTCTTGTTCACAAAGTGCCATCTTTCTGAGTAACCATATGTATTATCACAGAGCTTTTAAATCCTGCTTCTTGCCTACTTAAATGTGTGGGGCTACAAAATGAAACACAGCCACACTGTCAGGAGGGTGGGTTTTTTTTAAAGAATCCACTGATACATAATATGAAAAACAAGTAAATCATTGTCTTACTGACAAATAGCATGTACTAAAGACAACAGGCAGAAGCAAGTAATATTACCAAAAAGGATTAATCACAGTGACTTCTTATTGACTCATTTATGTTCTATTTATTCTACTGTGCCCAGTACGAGCTTCACTCATGTCATGCCAAACAAAGGTTTCAGTCCTCCAGTCATACAGACATTTAACTTTTAATCATGCAAGTGGTTCTACAGACATCAGATCAGTCACATGAATAAAAGCTAAGTAGAAGCATGTGGTGTTTGTTGAACTAAAACCTAAAGCTGGGCCGTAGCTGCAGAATTCATCTGCTTATAGAGAAGACCAGCACATTTTAAAAGTAGTATTGGTATTAAAAGAGTGTTTTTTAAAAATTCCACACATAAGAGGAAAAAAAATTAAAAAGCAGTGAGTGACAACATAGAAATGACAAACTTCTTTGTTTCAGGGTAGGATGGATTGCATTTCATACACTCCATTTTTTATTTATAATAGCATAATATTATTTGACAGCTATAGAAACTGCTCACAGGGAAAGGATCTTAACAGAAGTATTGAACGTCTAGATACTGCATTAGCAACTGGGAATGAAAAGGAGCAGTACTACGACCAGCACACTTGCAGCAGACCCTTCACACCTGCCAGTGGTACGTACACACACTGACACAGGCCCTCCCTTCTTACCCTCCCCAGCCTGAAAGGCTAGAAAAGCTGCAAAGCTTTTAAGGGAACACTTTTTATGGAAAGATACATTACATGATAAAAAGACTTAGCAAATTCTCCTAAGTAATACTACAAAGTGCTTTTAAGTTTTGTTCAAATCTAGGATCCACAATAACGCTAAAAAAACCCTTCTTTCTTGGGGACCATGGGGAAAAAAAAAAATGGAGGCACATAGGAACTGCCAGCTTATTTTTTTTCAGTCAGGTGTCTACCTTGTCTTCTAAATGCTCATTTCTGCACACACACTTGAAAAATTTACACATATGACATGACTTCACACTGGTATTTTTGCCTACAATGCATGAGGATACATATAATTAAGAGTAGCAACGAAGATCTAAAATAAAATTTGAATTAAGGGATTCTTGTAGCAGCTGAGAAAGTAATTCCAGTTTTTCCACGTGCATTCTTTAAACACAAAGCCATCCCCTTCTCCCTTGGCCTCTTCAAACTAACAAAATTCAGTACAGGATTATTTTGCGTAGCAAGGATCACGTGGCATAGACATTGTATATGAAGGAGAACATTCCTTCAAAAAAACAGGGGTAGTGCTCATCAGAGGAACACCACAGAACATTTTATAAAAAACAATGTTTCAAAAACCAAAAAAAAAAAAAAAGGAATCCACCTCTATTCAGAAACACTAAAATTTTAAGTACTATAAGAGACTCTTTTGGAACAAACTGCCAAATTTGATGAATTTCTGTAGTGCAGACTTTGCCTCATTGTTGCCCTCAATGTCAACTTTAGGCTTACACCTTAGAAATATATAGTTCAGCTAAATGATATATCAGAGAAAAAAATTAAACACCTGACATGTCAAAAGCAAAGCTCTCTTTAAAAGCCTGTAAATTACACAGGGTGAATATTTCCACTGTGTAACCAAAAACCCTGATTGGGATAAAGGCCCCATCATGCCAGACATGCTGCAGAAGGCAGAACAGAGCCCTTGCCCTGCACAGCTCACAACCCAGCTTACAGAAAACCTCTGGCATCCAGAACGTGACATTACCGCTATGATCGTTTGCTTTAGTTTCAAAACCGGTTTTCTCATGCAAAGTTCCAGTCTGGTGTTACTGTCACCTCAGCACATCCTTTGCCCTTCTCTCTTCCCCACATTTACCTTTCTTCTGAGCCCGGAACATATCCAGCTGTTTCTGCTGCTGCCTTCTTAGTGTATTAACAATAGCTATTGCTAGCCTCAGTGCTTCTCGTGGGTATCCATGAGATCGTAATGCATCCACCCTCGCACAGGCTGTAGGAACATGTTCTAAAACGGAGAAAATAATTGAGGAATAGCAATGCTTCCATGTCTGCAATGGCCTGTTTTGCTAGGTTACTCAAAAGGGCTTTTTTGTTTGTTTTTTTGTTTTTGTTTTTAAAACTATGCAAGAGAGACTTAAAGGACTACTTCTGAGCCACCATTTCAAGGGAGCCTCTGTTCTTTTTGCCAGGCTTTTCATTCATCTCCCCACCATCCCCTCCAAAATAATGCCATAGAAAATGAACAAAGCAGCAAGTCATGGAAACGTCTTTCCGGTTTAGCCACTTACCATGCCAGAGGGGCCACCCGTGAGAGTCAAAGAGCGAGTTTTCAGTGTCGTCATGGTAACAGTAGTTGGTGTATAGGTCACTGCTGATAATGTGCTGTAAGTGGCTGTCCTGCCAGTGCAGATCGCACGCCTCAATGGCTCGAGTGAACACCGTCCGATGTGGCCTGTTCGATGAATCTGTCATTTTCACAAGTTCAGAAAGCTGCATCAGCTTTTACTCATTCATATGTGAATCAGTCATTCACAGTATTCTTGTCTTCTGCCTATTCACCAAGCCCCAACCGACAGCAGCCTGCCTTGCCCTTGCCCCCCTCTGCACCGAACAGCCCGCAGATGACATTTCACATCCCATCACTACCCAATAGCTCAGACGAAGTGTGGGCCATTCACTTTGCTTTCAGAGAGAGAGATCTACAAACCAGCATGGCTGATGCTAAACAGGACTTTGCAGAGGGAACAGCTAGAGATGAAGGACATTCAACAGCATGTACAGAACTTCCCTAAAAACAAACTGGAAAGTATACGGCACACTGCTACTCAAGCACCCCAGCTTCTCTCCTCCTCAGACCCAGAGCTGCCAGGATGAGGGACAGATAAACATTGCATGGAAGATTTGTAGTTGTTCTCTTTGAGAAGTGACATTAACTTTGAGCACTTGTATAATCTTTTTTGTCATAAACATATACAAATACTGTAACGAAAGTGAGGTACTGAGGCCGTGGGACTGACATAATCCTTACTGGACATCTTCCTATGGCAAAATCGCTCTGTCGACATGGCACTATGTCTATGAACATTGAGATGCCATGTTAGAGTTACCACTAGCCTGCCCAGGTTGGGCTGAACATCACAATATACGGAAAGCAAAACACCTCTGTAGGGAGTTATATGCTGAATGAACTTCTGTCCCCAGCTAGCTGTGAGATTTAAAAATGAACCAAGTCTATTTCCTTCAGAGGTAATCTTCCAAGAAAAACAAACAAGGAAAAACCCATCTAAGTCCAAATCTGCCACCTCCCAAGCACTTAATTTTAACTTTATCATAATTATGTGAAATACGTATCAAAATACTGAGGGTTTTGAGGATTATGAGGGTTTTTTCCCAGGTAAATATTCTGCATCTTCCCCAGTTATTAGCAAAGTAGCCATCTTTGCTTGAAGGGGACTGGACAAGGCTTCTGTCAGATTTGATAATCACATTTTAGATTAGGAAGCACGATATCGAGTAAGAAGAGACACCTCCTCCAAGACGGCAGTGTTGCCTCTGCACTCCCCACACACCTGGCAATGCAGACTGCACATACAGAACACATCCCACAGATAGCTGCTTTAGTTTCTCACACATTCAAGTTTAATGCAATTACAACAGATCTCTCTTTAAATAGGTATCAAAAGCTTTGTAACTGCAAACAAAATAAAAACCCAAACACCAGAAGGAATCAAGATTATAGTCAAGCAAAGAAACAACAGGCTTTTACATGATATACTTCAAGGACATCCAGTTTTCATGCAACACGTATTTAGAAGCACCAAGTGAAAAGTTAGAAGACCTAACTAAACACAAATACTTGCTTTGAAAACATTGCAGCCCCAGCACAAAAAAACCACCTATTTATCCTTTCTGCAAGGATACTATTAGTGAAAATAATTTTGGCTGGTTAAGAGTGCTGAATTCTGCAAGGCTAAAGTATATAAGATAGAGGTTATATTATATGTTGCAGTCAGTGCATATGTTTAGGCTCACCTTGGTTAGCATTTGCACCCTGAGGCAAAGCATTGGTTAAATTGGGCAGCTCGTTTCCATGGTTTCCATCTTCCCAGGGACAAACATCCACACTGTTCCATTTTTTCAGCTGTTTTAGGAGTGCTGAATTCTGCAAGGCTAAAGTATATAAGATAGAGGTTATATTATATGTTGCAGTCAGTGCATATGTTTAGGCTCACCTTGGTTAGCATTTGCACCCTGAGGCAAAGCATTGGTTAAATTGGGCAGCTCGTTTCCATGGTTTCCATCTTCCCAGGGACAAACATCCACACTGTTCCATTTTTTCAGCTGTTTTAGCCAACTGGCCTTCTGCTCCAACTTGCAGTGGGGATTTAAGACTATACACATCCACAGAGCACCTGATTTTAAAAAAATTGCTAAATTATGTTTTCTATTAAAAATGCAGCAGCCAATGACTAATTGCAAACTTCTATACTGTAACACTTTCTCCCCTCAAAGGCTACACTGCTTGCTTCCCAGCTATGCCTAACACCAGGCAGACTGAATTCCTGACGCAGGATCTTGGAGCTGGCGTGGACCATCTGAAGCAGTTGAAAGACAGTACCAAGCCAACCTTCTCAATTAAAGGGCATTACGAGGTCTTTTGCATTAGAAAATCCAGAGTTCACAATGTATGGCTCATCAAACAGGAACATCAATCAAAAGCAAACAAGAATTCACATAAAGTTACAGCAGGAGATTACCCAAGTTTTTCTTCTAATTTTTTGTACCAGAAGTAAATGTTGTTTTCAACAAACAAGAACTATGTATCTTCCAGCTTCACATTACAGGAACCAAAGAAGTGCATTAGTAAGACATATATTTTGTAAACGTATACTTCCACACTCAGAACCCAGCAGAAGTACTGCTGATCGTATCACTCATTCCCAAACACATCTGGGTCTCAGAGATCCAGTAAACACTGGTTTTGTGCAGTCTAATAGGAATAAGATATTTTTACTGCAATTACTTCAGTAATTTGGTTACACTAGAAAATTTGTTTTACAAAATTTTCTGTTTACAGAGCTCGAAGGGAAAGCTAATTTGCGCTGACATTTCGCACATACCATCACTTTGGAACCTGCTCCCTCGGACTATATAGCAGGGCAGGCATAAATACATCAGGGTCTCTAGCAACAATTTTCAAATGGAAAGATTTTTCTCTAATCAGCTGTCTCTTCATCAGCGTGAACTTTGACAGAAGCATGAAGACATCTGAAAGTACTGTTTAGCAACAGTTCATTTGCTCATTAAGAACATGCCTTATACACTATAAGCATATTCCCCAAATCTCTTGAACTGTGCAATCTTTATGACAGGTTGACAAAAAAAAGAATAAAAATGCAGGTTCTTCTAGGATAATAAAATTCTCACTTTCAAGTATTCTTTTGCTAACTAGGAATGCAAAATGGATACCCAAAGCACAGGCCATCACATTACATTCATTCTTAAAGTAACTCGGCATGTCTGTATGCCACATGGAGCCAGTGGAAACACAGCTTAATCCTTAAGGCTGCAAGTCCCTTGCTATTCAGACCAACATGGAATGAGGAAGTAATATCAAAGAAATCTGAAAACCGCAACAAAACGTGATATGGTACAGTGCAGAACACCAGAGAGACACTACAATACCGCAGATTATTACTGCACAGTAGTTGAATACAGTACAGCAAGGGGGGTTGGGGTGTGGGTGTGTGTGGGAGGGGTAGGGGGTTTTTTGTGTGTTTGTTTGGCTGGGTTTTTTTGTTTGTTTGCTGTTTGGTTGTTGGTTTTTTTTAAAGTGTCTGAAACTTGCCATGGGAGTGAATAAGGCCAATACTATTTTTAAAAATGTCTTTTAAAATCAAATCATGTGACTTTCTTTAGACACAATTGTCAACATGCTTCACTCTCCAGTCAAATTACAACTGGTTCTTATCATTAAGCATCAATGCATTCAGCACTGCCCAAGACAGAACAACTGTATTTCTTCCAATCTGCAAAACAAAACAGAAGATGGGACATATTGGAAAACCTTGGAGAATAGTTAACTTGGGCTTGCTTAATTACTTTCAAAATCAAGTATCACTTGAGAGCACTAAGGAGACACCGTACCTTTCAGCATCTAAAAAAAAAAAAAGCCAGTTTAATACTCTGTAACCAGATTCCCAGTGTTTTCAGACTGAAGCAAAAGCAATGTGGAATACCTTAACCGCGTTCGGAAGTATTTCAATCATCCAGCAAGGTGGAACACACACTACTGATTACACCATGCCCCTACAAAATGAGTGGCCTTTTCTTTTTCCACGTCTCAGAAACACCACTAGAGGCAAAGGAATTCACTCGCCTTCTTGAGAAGCTCCACTATGCGTGCGGTACATCTAAGAGGCAGGAGTGGGAAGAGAGACCCCAAAGTACCAAAATCCTTTAAAAACTTCTTTGGTTTAAAGAGGGAAACTATGTCAAGCATAACTGCATTGTTAGCAGGGATTGTCTCAGAAACCCAGGCTATTTTTATGCAAATGAAGCACAAGGACAAGTGTATTTTAATAAACCACACACAAACCACTAAAAATTTCAACAGAGCCCAACAGCACCCTGCTCCCAATGACTTCAGGGCAAGCTGCATGCACATCTGAGATCTCGCCCAGCTTTCACGGCTGCCCGATTCCCTGCAGGAAGAGGAGTGTGAGACAAAACTCCCCCAGGAGAAACGAAGGGAACAGAAAGAGCCTCAGGCTCAGCTCCTGTAGTGCTACAAAGGCTACCATCTGGGAGAAGGATGCATAATGCCAATGACCCCACACTCTTCAGCCTATTTGCGTTTCTAGGTTTTTTGGTTGGGATTTTTTGTGTGTGATTTTTTTTCTTCCCCACCCCCCAGCGTATGTGTGTTTGCCTGTATTCATATTTCTTCCTCCTCCTGCTCCCTAAGCGCCCTCCCTCTCCCCTGACATCTGCTCCATTCTGGCTCTTTCAATTCACCGGTTCCTGTCCTGCTCCTAGCACTGAGAAGTCTGAGGAAAACATTCACTTGTGCCCAGATTTTTACCACATACCAACTGGAAGGAGCCTGGAGGATATTCTTTCTGTATCAGTCTGATGCTGCTCAGAAGCAGCAGGGAAGACACCCTAAGATGGCCATTAAATGTCACCACCAACCTGAAGGCTTACACTGGCCTCAAACAAGAGATTCTCTATTTTCTGCCTAATGGCTCCCAAACGGGGAAACTGCTGATCACACCCCCTTACTACAGACAAGGCTTATGGAAAAATGAAGGGCAGCTACTTGTAATTTGTGGGGAAGGTATCTAAAACCATTTCCAGTGACTTCAGCCTGGAAACTGCTATTGGCAACAGTCTATACTCAAAAGAAGTTTCCCAAAATACATTCCTGGCATTCTCAAGTTCACCTGTTTGACTAGATTTAATGATGTCACCCATGCCACCTGCAATATGAACAAATGTCTCATTAAATTAAAAAAAAAAAAAAAAAAAAAATCAGAGAATGTATTTGTGTTTACATACTCTGGTTTTCCCTCTAACACAGCGCGCTCTCTTCTTCCTGTCTCCCTTTCCACAGGCACCAGCTATCTTTTCATATTGGTTCTCAGCAGGCTGACACATCTTCCCCCCCCAAACTACATGCTACTAAACCAAAAGTAAAATTCTGATTTGGATCCCTTGACTGTGACCTACGTCTTTCCAATAGAAAACTCCTCAGATCACAGTGGCAAAATGATCACAACTCAATATACAAAAATTTTCCCCCCAGAAGAAAATTGGAAAACAAGACATGCTGTGACTGCAATTTGATATTAATTTCACAAGGGAAAGAATATTAGAACTGTCATATTGCAGTGAGGAATTGTCTATTTTGGTTCAACGCTAATCCTCTTGACCTGGAAAAAGCCAGCTTTGCCAAAACAGACCTTTGGTTCAGACAGACCTCCTTTTGAAAATGCACAGTTGTCATTCATCTTTAGTGTGCCTCACACCACAAGAAAAAAAAAGTTTACATTACTGCTTTACACAATGCATGCCTTCCTTGTACATACAAGGGAACATCACTACTTTTCTGTTTCTCAGTAGATATCCATACCTGCAAATTCATGGGGGAGAAACGGACAGCATGCCTTTACACTGATTAGGATTTAAATATGCAAATTGAAAAACATTAAGAAGTATTCAGTCACTGTAAAAGTAGATGTTGTAGTAATTACACATCCTGTGTATGCATGTATTCATGAAGCCAAAGGAAGTGCAAGGAATGTATACACACTCCCCGAAAGATTAAGCATTTCTCAGTTTTCATAAATCCCACTGTATTTTACTCTTGCCCCAGTAAATGGGAAGGTGGTGATGGAAATACCTTTTTAGTGGGGGGGTTAGGACACTGACTGTGATTGAAGATCCAGTTCTGTTTGACTGTTTGATTACCATCTTTCCAAGAAATCTGCTTTTCCCAGAAATATTATGCTACCTTGTCAGGGCTGCTATGTAGCTAAGCTTGGGTTAGTATTTCCTCATTTACAACACCCATGTAATCAATGGCTGAGACTTGGCCTTTGCTTTGGAATTTTACATTTAAAATTAAGATCAATCCATTCATTTGCAGAATTAAAATATGCAAGAAACAGATGCACATCTACTGTGACATTTCTTCGCCCTTCGCATTAACGCACATCTCTTTCTTAAAAAATAAAAGCCCATAAGCTACCAGGTTAGTAGCATTTGATCATTTCAAAGAAAATGGAGCCAGGTAATCAAGATCATTCCCTTTGTGCAACAGACAAATCAGCTTTAGCATTTGCTGCACGCTTGCCACTGTGCCCCATTTGAGCCTAATCAATTCTATTACAAAAGCATCATTTTCCAGCATTGGAAGTGCCAGAATAAAAACAATACTCGGAGACAGAACCTATGACCCCTTTAAAGTAGAAGTGTCAGCAAAGGATTTTAAAGTGGTTTACATCTGGTTTTTAAACACATACGCACTTTCACTGGGACAGCCACTTGGAAACCTCAAAGAAGGTAGTGTATGGTATTTATTGCTTCTCAATGAGAAGGACAAGTGCCTTCAGAACGACTAGCAAAGCCACCTCCCTCCTCCAGGCACGGAGATCTCCATTAGAACAAAGCATAATCAGAAGTCCCATTGGAGAATGCTCCAATTAAACAGTTGCTTTTATGGAATAGTGAAGATAGGCAAAGCACTTCAGTCCTGTTCTCTCCTCAAAAAGAACCCCAAGGAAAAGTACTCTTAGCATTCAGTTGGATTCAAGTTGCAATTTTATTCATAAAAACAATTCCTTAATGCATTCTGGTTTCTCTGTGCAGTCTTCAGAAAAAAAGGCTTTCTATGGGTGCTGTGTTTCTT